GTCTCTGGTCCGATCACAGATGTACTGAAATGAGTACCGGGACACACAGAAGTTCTGCACAAACTGTTGAAACCCGGTCCAACCCGTTCCAACTGTGTCCCAGGAGCAGCACCACAGTGGTGGAGAACAGGACTGTTAGAACTTCAGTATTTAGCTTAGAAATGAGGTGTTCTGGTGACAAACGGAGTTCAGCTACACGCTGTTTGTTCTGCTCATAGAAAAGACCTCATGAGAACACATCACTGGACTTCATCCTGGACAGATCTGACACCAGAACCTCCTGGTTCACTCTGTTTAAAGTCATCTCTGGTCGCACACCGGACTGAGCACCGCGGCCACCAGCAGCAGCTAGCGCAGCCTGCTATGTGGGGCGTTCAGGGAACATTGTAAACTGTAGAGTCTATGGATAAGAACATGTTCAGCAGGTCAGATGTTTCTCCTGTGACCAGGTGGGAGGTGAGACCAGATGAGAAAGTGGGTCACACCGGTAACAAAACAAAACAAAAAGTCCTGTGTGGACTTCTGTGTGGCGCCAGCGCTGTTCGGTTAACGGCTCCGTATGCAGTGACGTATGGTTCTGACTGGGCGCCTGGCTGATGGAGAAGCAACCCAGTCTATAGGAGGTGGCAGATTGGAACCAGCTAAGCTCTGGAACTAGCACCTGGTTCTTTTAGGTGGAAAAGTGGTATTAGTGCAATAACTCAGTTTTAAATGAAGATCATTTCATCCAAAGATGTCAGAATGTTTCTGTCGTGTGTTTCTATCAGCTGCTTCGTCCTGAACGTCCTGACTTTCATCAACGCACCAGAAGCTGCTGATTTCTGCTGATATTTAAAATCAATAGCTGCACTTTTACTTTCCACAGAACTGTAAACACCATCAAGTCTCTGCTGATCAGGGCTTACTGGGTTTGTCGGGTTTCCTCTATAATGTTATGACGAAGGCTCATCAGCAGGTCAGATAACAAATACTGGGTCCATTGATGTTCCGCTGCTGAGCCGGATCAGAACAGCTTCTATGTAAAACATGATGCGTTTATTTAATACGACATCCAGACGAGTTCCTCCGTAAAACAATCCAACAAGCAGAACTGATGAGAACGAGTTTAAAAACCAGTAACTGAACGTGACCTCAGTCCGTTTAGTGACTCAGAGCCCGGTTAACAGCATCACGGTACTGTTCAGAACCGTATCTAACGCTGAGGCTGCCATCAGTCCCTGTGATGTACATCCAGGTTGCAGAGGGAAGCTGGGCTCGGATCTCTGTACAACGGAGCCTCAGACACGTTTGTTTCGTCACTATACAGAAAACAGGGAAAGCCTTCATCAGCAAGACTTTACCCTCCAGAACATCCGGTTCTTACCAGAAGCCCAGAAACTGTCAGAAACACTGTAGGAAGGTTTCAGAACCAGAGAAACTCCCAGACTTTAGTCCGATAACAGAAACAGGGAGCAAACAGAAAAAAGCTGCAGAACCCAGGGAAACACAAAGTCCGGTTCAAAGAAACAGAATCCAAAAACGTACAAGAACTCAAACAGCTAGAACCCAAATGAACAACAGGAGCCAACATCTGGACAAAATCTGGATTTACCATCCGCAGAGAAGAACCTAAAGCGGCCCGACGGCAGGCAGAAAGACACACAAAATAAAACAGGAAGCTGACAGAACCAAACCAGGAATCTGATTCTGGTTCTGAGTCTGATGGCGTCCAGAGACTGATACTCAGAACATCTAGAGTTCCTAAATCACCAGAAGTGAACACTGATCCAGTTAAACGGTCTCCTGAACGTACTGAAGAGTTCCAGCAGAAATCTATGGAGCAAACACACAGAACCCACACAGAACCCACACAGAACCGACATGAGGAGAAACCCTGTATACTGGTTATAAATACATACACGTGCATGAAAAATACAACAGTGGATTAAAATATGATAAAAAGCAGATTGAGAAGAAGAGTCCTTCCTGGATGAGAGGTTCTACTGTTGAGCTGCAGTGAAGCTTGAAGGAACACCGTGAGGCAGGAGAACCTGGATCTTCAACATGAGGAGGATCTCTGGAGGTTCCTTCAAACCTTCAGTAACGTGTTTCATTACAAAGTTCACTCCAGGGAACATGTGCAGAATCTCTCCTCCAGCACTGACCTGTGAAGAAGCTCAGACCTGCATCCGCTCACCTGGACAGCAGCTGAAGACTCTGAGAAGCTCCAACATTAGAACCGAGGACACTTCAGATTCCTGAAGCTGAGCAGCAGCAACCAGAGAGCAGCCACATGGAGAAGAAACTCCTTCAGCCACATCTACAAGGTCTAAAACCACATCTTGATGAAGATGAAGGAACCAGACTGAAAGTAGAATGTAAGACTGAACTCAGCAGAAACAAGATCCTGAAGCGTCCAGTGATCCAGCAGCAGCTTTTCTTTACTGACTAACTAACCAGCAGATTAGCAGCACTTATGAGCCAGAAACGGAAAAAGCAGAAGCAAGCAGCAGCTTTTCCTTCACGTGGCGCCGTTCTGTGGGAACGCTAAACGGACCTGAAGCTGCTGAACCAACGTCACACCTCAGCTCAGTCACTAGAATCTGTGGAAAGAGTCACCACTGAGTTCTATGACAAGCGCTGATCTGGTTTTAAAAGCAAACGTCTGCATCGGAGAGGAAACTTTCAGCCAATGAGCTGCTGATGTCATACTGAGCATGTGCAGTAGATGTGTGACGTGTAGAGAAAACACCTTCAGCCTGATCTGATGATTTTATCTTCTGGACCCACATTCACTCTGACTGGGTTAGGGTTAAAAAAAAAAAATAATGCTCTTCTTTCCTAGTACTTCATGTACTGGTGAAGTACTTCATGTACTGGTGAAGTACTTCAGTACCTCCAGTGATTCTCTTTCAGCTCAGCATCCTGAGGAGGGAATCTAACCAACGACCTGAGATCAGCACAGACACACTGAGCCTCCAGAACTATCAGAACCACTAGAACCTCCAGCTGTTGTTTGAACAGAACCAAACCCTGAACCAGGATCTGAACAGAACTGCAGCTGAACCTTCACAGTCACACTTGTTCTGATCAACAACAGAGTCGGGCGGCCCTATAGCTCACCTGGTTGAGCGGGCGACCCGTGAACAGGGCTGTAGTTCCCCGACCCGGCGTTCGTGAGTTCAACTCCTGCTCACGACCCTTTGCTGCAGGTCTCTCCCCGTTCTTCTCCCTCTCTCACTGTCCTGACTAATAAAGGCAGAAACACCAGAAAAATAATCTTTACAAAAAGAATCTCATAGAGTCAAACTTCACCATCGGTGAGAAACGCTTTTCGGTTCGTCGGTTCTGTTCCTTCAAACATCAGGTTCCCGTCAGAACGGACCATCTGGAGGTTTTCTAATGACGTGACAGCCTGTGTTTCTGCAGATAAACTTTAATGCTGTGCTGCTGTGGGTTCCTGCTCGGAGGCAGCAACACGCCTTCTGGTCACATGATGCTTCATGTTCCTGGACATGATGTCACATCAGTGATGCAGCACAGAACCTGAATGTTCTGATGAGAAAACAGATCTGATCCAAACACAAACTCATCTGAATCCACCACAACAGTCAGTTTGAGCATTCAGGCAGCAGACACGTCACATAAACGGCACCGATCAGAACTCTGAGCTCCATCAGAGGACCGATCAGAGCTCAGAGGTTCTGGCCTGGTTCTGTCTGCAGCAGCAGAGTTCTGCAGAACAGATCCGGCCTCCATAACAAAGCTCCAGTCTCCTCCTGTGCTGCTTTATTCTCTGCAGCAGAGCAGCAGCGTTTAAGCTGATCTGCTGAGTCCCAGAAACAGAAACTCACCTCATCGCCGTTTCTTCTTCTGTTGATCCTGAACGCAGCCGAGCTTCTTCTTCTCTGGACGCTGGGAGTGTCTCTGTTGTTCCTCTGCAGAGGAGATGCTAAAGGCTAACGCTAGCAGGGGAGGGGGGTGATGATGCGGCACCTTTCATATGGAAACAGGAGGGGGGGGGCTGTTACCGTGGAAACAGAGGTGATGTGATGGAGGAGGAGGAGCCGGCCTCCGATTGGCTGACAGGGTGTGGTGCTTCCCTCCTCGGGGGGGGAGGGGGGGGTGACAGAGCAGCTGCTGTGTGGGGAGGCAGCGGCGCCCCCACCTGGACACATCTGGAACTGCAGCACACTACAGAAACACAGAGAGACCAACGGAAGAGAAATACTGATAAAAAACACAACATAAAAACGCTCAGTGTGGCTAATTACATATGAATTAATTTAAAATAGCGCAGAAGAAGAATTGTGAGATATTCCTTCACTACACCCGTTTGACGTCTTGCTTTACTGGTGTTACTTTAGTTTTATTTTCTGAGTAATGTTTTGTGCTTTTGTCTTATTTCTGCATTTACGCTCATATTAAAAAGCATTTGACTGCGCGTTATAGCGTGTATGACTGTGTTTGTGACCAATAAAAACCTTGAATCATATTATAGTAATTTTTCAGAGCGACACTGGAGTCACAGTCTTGTGATTGTGGTCATTTCTACTAACATTTAAATCTTTTTTTCTTTTTTTCTTTTTTTTTTTAAATCGCCATCTCCTAAACTGAAATTAGTCATGAGGAGGAATAATCCTGAGCTTTATGTGAAAAATCTTTTATTAAAATTGAGATTTAAGCAGTTATTAAAGAATCACACGAAAAGCTGCCAAACAAACCAAAATACAGTAAAACAGACAAAACAACTGGATTAAAGTCATGAACTCAAGACGGAGGACAAAAAGGTTGTTTATTTAGTGTCTAATCAGGTTTTCTGTGATGATCCCAGAGACTGAAGTTGTTTTTGCTTTTACCAGAATAAACACTTAAACTATTTTTTAACAGCATCAAGAACAAAATCATTTGGTTTTCCTGAAATTACAAAGAACAAACTTTTCCCTGAAAATCAGCACAATATATAAAATATTCGATTATTGGTTTATCATCGCTGCTTCAACACACAAACAACNACTCATCTCCTGCAGGCCAGGACCACTGCTCAGTCCTCTGTAGTCAAAATGAGTCTGACACGAACCCCAGCAGCTTCAATTAAGCATGAAGCTCTGAGGACAGACAGAAGCATCAACCATTAGAGAAGTGACCATAAACGTCTTCATGTCCATCGCTGTGTCCTGAGTCAGGAGGCCGTCCAGGAGTCTGGATGTGGTGTTTGAATCACGTTAGTGTCGACCAGAACAACATCAGCGCAGCGTATAGCACTCATCAGCCGTCTACTGACTGTAAGTGGCATTTCACTCACAGCTGGAGGATTCTTTACACAGTGATGTTTGTTAGTTTTTGGTTTTTGATAAAAATGTCTGACAGTTTCCCAGATGAAGGGTTCTGTTGGACCAACAGTCTAAATACACAAACTCGGGACTGTGAATGTTTTCCTTCACATTCGACTCATATCCCAGAAGAACCCACAGCAGAACCTCGGTCTGCCTCCGTCAGAGTAAAAACTGGTTCAACAGATTATTTTTGGCTCATTAATCTGCTGTCAGCTGCTGGTTCAGAACCAGAACAGAGAAAACCTCTGACAGCTTCCTGCAGCTCAGAAAGCCTCTTAAAGCGCAGAAACGTTGAACAGAAAACTCTGCAGCAGGTTTAAACCTGAAACACTCTGATTGGTTCAACCAGAGAGAGGCTCCACCTGGTGGAACAACCAGGTACTACAGATCATCTCATTATTGGACCTGTATGTTGTCTATCTGTTGCCTTCAACGTTGAGATGTCTATAATTGGTTTAATTAACTCACTAACATCCCTGATGTGTTCTAACAGAACAAACCTCCATTGTTCTGCTTCCTTACATTAAACTGGAGTTAGGTCCAGTAGTTGTTGGTTCTGATCTCAGAGTTAAAGTTAAAGCTGTTGGATTTACAGTGAAAACACAAGAACTGAAGGAACCATTAGAGTTCTCACCACCTCTGTGTTTATTAGTGAGCTTCATAGTAGCTGCTGGGTGGATCACCTCATGTACTGTCTGTATGCTAAGCTAAGCTAACATTTAGCACACAGGGTCAGGGTGGTGTCCGTGTACTCATTTCATTTATCTAAGTTCCCTGATTCCTGTAACTTGAATAAATCAACTTCTCTACCAGACAAAAGTCTAACTTGAGGTTTCGGACCTCTTCGTTCTGAACCGGCAGGTATCAGGCAGACTGTTTTCTGTTGTACTTTGTGTGAACAGAGATATTAATGTGCTTGGTTCTTACTCGCCGCCTCCACCAGCTCCGGGTGCAGACTGTAGGGAATCAGCGGGTCGGGCAGGTCAGCGAAAAACGCCTTCAGAGCTCCGGCAGCAGCGTTCACGGCCACATCCATGGCCACGAAGTCGATGCTGTGATCTGCAGAGAGAGACGCAGACGGTTCATCAGGTCATCCACACGTTCAGGTCGAGGACAATAATGCGTGAATCTGATCTGTTGTTATGACCTGTATTCATACTGTTGGTCCTTCCATCGTCTAGAACTTGTTCTGACCAACCACCACCACACATGCTGTCCAGACTAACTTACTGGTAGCACCCACCTCCCACCTGGTCACAGGCAAAACATATGACTTGCTGAACATGTTTCTATCCATAGACACCATCATTTACAGATGTTCCCTGAATGCCTCCCACTGCAGGCTGCTAGCCGCGGTGCTCCAACCGACTGAATCACATTGGAAATAGTTCAGCTGGGCCTTCTGGTGTCAGACCGGTCTGAGATGAAACAGAGTTCATTTTTTCTACATACACTATTTTTTGAGCGTAAAAAACGGCGCATTCAGATGCGCTCCGTTTCTCACAAGACCACCGCATGTTTAATTGTAAATGCTGCAGAAAAGTGAAGTGTTAGAAGGACCACAGGAGCAGCCGGCTACAGCGGCATACATCTGGACATGAAGGCTGAAGATGGAGGCTGATGATAAAACAGTTAATCAGACTACTAAAATATCTACAGTCAGTTCAACCAACTAGTATCACTAGAACAGAACAGCTAGTAAAGTCTGATCGACTCAATCAGCCCTCCTCAGAACACCTGGTTCTGGATCTGCAGCACCTTTATCTACTGACCAGAGTTCTACCTTCAGACTGTGAATGTTCCAGAGGTCCAGGTCCTTGAAGTCCACAGAGGAGGGTCCAGATTGATCACTTTAATGGACTTTTTCCATCATTTCTGAGCCTCAGAACTTCATCAGTACAGCAGATAGACACATGACATTTCGGAGGAAGAACACATCTGGGTTCTTCTAGAATCTGACACCAGATCCGTTCTACATCCATCAGGGTGTCTCCGTCACAAAATATTCTGAGTAAACTTTCCAGGCTCATATCAGCATGTGAACCAGTTTTAGACAATGGAAGGACCATTCTACCTCCAGAACCTACCAGAACCATCAGCAGACTGGATTCACTCTGAGGTGAAATCATTTACCAACATATTCGTATTTGAACAGCTCACACATCCCAGAGCTGCTGCTGCTGCTTCGTGTTAGAACATTTATCTATAAAACATCATTGTTTCCTAAACATGGTGTCGGTGCTGATACGTGACGATCACCATCAGATCTGGAATGCCGGACAGGACTTCTGGTTCTGGTCAGACCGATAACAAGAACTGATTCATGTATAAAATGTGATGTTTGTGAAGCTGCAGTTTATTCACTTGATCCAAACAGACTCATGAACGTAGAACAGCGTTAGTCTGTAACTGGTGTGTTTACGGGTCGGGTTGGTTCTGTTCTACATCTCCTGGGACACAAACATCAGCTCAGAGAGTCGACAGACGTCACATGTGGCATAAAACTCTGGACCAACAGGATAAAGAAGAAGAACGAGGAAACAAACGAACAGTGATTAAAGAATCGCTCCTATTTGGTGACGAAGTCGGACTCTGTGGTTCTGGCTGAATCATTTCAGAAGAATCACTGGATTTACTTCTGCATGTGTTTCTCTTTCACCGAGTTCTCAGTCTGCAGTCGGTCTGTTTCTCTGCAGGTCGATTTATTGCACAGCAGAGCTGCTCGATCAGAAACACGTTTTCAAAGATCTCCTGAGTTTCTATGACTGAAGTTCACGTTGACGTAGTGAGAAAATAATGAGAAGCTGCTGCAGGTGATCTTTACCTTGATCAAACAGTTTCTGAATGTTGTCCTGGTCCGTCTTGTTCCCGCTGACTCGATACAGACCTTCAGTGGTCAAACCTGGAACACAGAGAACACAGAGCAACATTTGTCTCGTGGTTTCAGTGAAAACACTTGTTCTCTCTCATCGTTTCCAACCAAATATTCTCTTCCTAGGATTTAAAACCGCATCCAAACATTATTACAAGTCATTTGTTCTCTTTGCTTGTCCAAGTGTGAGCAGCTTAAAACCTTAATTCAATGTAAAACTGGTTTCACTGAAGATGATATTTAACCTGCTGAAGCGATAAAAAAGAAAGAAGCAAATCTCAATCTAGAAAACAGAAGTCATTAATAACAGATGACATGAAACACAGCAGGTAAGAAGGGAAACGATTCTGTGAGGAATCAGAGCTGCACAACTCGACTGCTGCTTCAAACAAGGACCCTGATCGACTGATATGATGAACCGTGGTTCACATCTGCAGCAATCTGTAGCGTTAGCACGTTGGAGGCTAATGTAGCTAACATTAGCTTTGATGGTGGTGGTTCACATCTGCAGCAGAATCTGTAGCGTTAGCACGTTGGAGGCTAATGTAGCTAACATTAGCTTTGATGGTGGTGGTTCACATCTGCAGCAGAATCTGTAGCGTTAGCACGTTGGAGGCTAATGTAGCTAACGCTAGGTTTGATGGTGGAAACTGTACCACTGAGGGACATAAGTCTAATTTAAACCAGTCAACCGGGCCTGGCTGGGCTACTGTGTTTCCATCGTAGCTTAGCATCGCAGCTTCTGTCCTGCTCTCTGTGCTCACACAGAACCAGGATTATACAGTCATGAAGGAATCAACCATGAAACACAGACTCTAATAATCTGATGTGACAGGATTATGATGGGACCTTGAAGGCATCACAACATCTCACACCAGATCAGATGAGTGCTTTTTATTGGATGAAACTCACCTACCCGCTTCTACATAAAGGAAGTCGTTCTTTTTTCTTCAAACCTTCACTTGGCAAATGAGCAGAAATACAAACTGTTGATATGTTCACACATTAATGTTTGTGGTGTTTCCAGCTGCTGTCTCCTCATACGTGGAACACAGATATAAGTGTAATTCAGATCCGATGCATAATGTATGTGTGTGATATCCATCTGATTCTGCTGCAGCGGCAGGTGGAACAAGTCAGATTAACGACTTCTCTGTGTGCCCTGAATGCAGCATTATCCTGACCTCACAGTGACCCTCCAACGCCCTGAACATCTCTGTGTACTTCTGAGGACATCTGACTCATAACAGGATGTAGCACACACACACACACACACACACACACACACACACACACACACACACAGCCCTGAACTGGAGGAAGTTAACAGTGTTCATGTTTGCACGTTGGAATCTGATAAGTGTGCTGTGATATGATCTAATATCCTCACACACACACACACACACACACACACACAGCTGTGCATCATCTTCTTATCTATAAAACATGTCTCGCACTACCTGTCTCTCTCCTGATTGGACAGCTGCCACCGTTACTTTATCGCCACAACAACCATTTGCTGTGGGCGGAGACAGGAAGTCGGTTCAATGAGAGAAAGTCAATGATTGGCTATTTTTAACTCTTGTATCCGATTAGAGGCCCAGAGAGTCTGACACTGGAGCCTGAACNAGAGTCATAAAAGGACCTCGGTCTCCTGAGCAGATGGTCTGCTCTGACCCTTCCTGTAAGGGGCCGTCGTGTGGTCTGACTGGTCCAGTTTACTGTTCAGGTGAACACTCAGGTACTTGGACGAGTCCACTCTCTCAATGTCCATGCCCTGGCTGTTCACCGATGTTGGGGTGGAAGTCCACCACCAGCTCTTTGGTCTTCCCCACGATGAGTTGGAGGTGGTTCTGCTGGCACCAGTCCACAAAGTCCTGGGTCAGTTCTCTGTACTCCCAACTGTCGTCATCTGAGATGAGGCCGACGATCGCAGAGTCATCAGCGAACTTCTACAGATGGCAGCTGGCTGAGTTGTACATGAAGCCTGCAGTTACAGGGTGAAGAGGAACAGATCCAGGACCATTGGCCCAGTGCTGCAGACCACCATGTCAAACTCAGGTGGTCCAGCATCCAGCCTGAGAGGTGGTGGTCCACCTCATGAGCTCCAGCTTGTCCCTCAGGAGAAATGGCTGAATCGTGCTGAAAGCCGTGGAGAAATGACAGAACGTGATCTTCACAGAGCTCGCAGCTCTCCAGGTTGGACGGAGTTCTGAAATACCCGAAGATGTGAAGAACAGAGAAGACTTCAGAGCACAGTCACTCATTTTAAGTCACAATAATACATTAAAGATGCATCTTTGTGAACCTCCCATAATTATATATCATGCTTCAACAGCAGCATCACCAGAATTAAAGTTCTAAACTGGGGGCCCCGCTGGCTCAACCGGACCAGACAGTGACCCACAAACAGGCTACGGTCCCTGGGTCGGGGTTAGGGGTTGAACCGGACCAGACGCCGACCCACAAACAGGCTATGGTCCCCGGGTCGGGGTTAGGGGTCGGAGTCGGGGTCGAGTCCAGCCAGCGGGCCACTGCTGCAGGTCTTCTCCCATGTCTCTCTGTCTCTCCACACGGTCCTGTCTGGTTAGAGGCGAAACAGTCCAATAAAACCATGTTTAGAACAACAGCCGGTTCTGGTCTCTGAGGTCGTCCGGACCTGTGCAGCTTCAGAGGAAACTGAAAGACTAAAAAGACAACAAAGAGACTGATCCTGAAGTGCTGACCTGAACAGAGCTCCTGTGATTCTCTCTAACAGCCAGCAGGGGGCGACTGTTGCACAGGAGTCAAGCTGTACAGAAGTCTATTAGAAAACAGCTGAACTTTTCATTGCAGTGTCAGAACCAGAACCACAGTTTTACAGGAAGGTCCAGCTGAGACATTAGTCACTCTTTAGTTTTTCAGTTTATCTCCAAAGACCCGACTGCCCGAAGAAGAACATGGGAGGCTGGTTAAAGTGTTTTTGACAGTTAATAAAGCTCATCATTAGAGATGTTCTGATCCGATCTCAGAGACCTGGATCGGTGCAGATTTGACCTGCTCCTTCGTTTACATCCACCATCACATGGGA